CGGCCTCTGGGATCTGCAGAGGTTTCCCACCTGCACTTGCCTGAGGCCTTGCAGTCAGGGCTTACCCTGATTCCCTTCCTGGGACAGGCCTCTCTGAGCCAGCCCCACCCCAGGGCTGGACACCTGCCGCTGCTCTGGCCCTCCTGGCTGAGCCCTGGTTCATCCTCACTGGGCAGCGCTGGTCACCGATCCTACCTTTCACAGGTTTATTGTCCCCTGGTGCCCCAGGGCAGGCTCGATCTGGCAAGGAGAGTCCCAAGCAGGGTCAGCGTGCCAGGGACGGGCTGGAAGCGCCAAGTGGACCCTTGCCACCGGCCTTCCCATTCTGGGTTTTGGGGTGAGGCTGTGGTTTTCTTCTATTTTATAAATGTTCTACAATTTTATTATTAAATAAGTCAGGAGCCATTTTTATTATTGTTATTACTATTATTATTTTCAGGGAGAACAAGCATCAAGAGAGCCCACTGGTGAAGGAAGGGCCAGAGCTTGGACTGAGGCAGACGGTGGAGGGGACTCTGCGGCTCTTGGGACCTGCTGACCCCTGGGCAGGGGGCAGGGGCTGCAACAGCCGTGGCCACAGGGCTGCGAACATCAGCCCAGCAGTGTCCCATGGCCCAGGGCAAGGGGCCAGTGCTGCCAGAGCCTCCTGAGGCCCTGGTGAGTGGCAGACAGACCCCCAACCCCCAACACCCCCACCATTGTCCAGGGGCAAGGACCGTGTGAGGGTCAACAGGCCCAAGAGGCCCCAGAAAAGACTCGGGGAGCTGCTGCAGCCCCTTCAGAACAGCCAGCACTGTTTATACTCTCTAGGTGCCACTAGACGCCTCCCCTCCCTTCCCCTCCCTCCCCCTGCCTTCCATCTCCTCTCCTATCCCATCTCCCCGCTCCCCTCCCCCTGCCTCCCATCTCCTCCCCATCGCCTCCCTCCCCTCCCTTTCCATCTTCTTCTCCTCCACCCACTCTCCCTCCCCTCCGCCTCCCTCTCCTTCTCCCTCCTCCCTCCCTCCCTCCACCCTCCCTTCTTCCCTCTCTCCTTTGGTCCCTCTCTCCCTCCCTCTCTCTCTCCCTCTTTCCTTCCCTCCTTTCATTTCAGCATTGAGGGGGATGAATGGGCATGAAGACCCTCAGTCTCCCTTTATCTGAGGGTGTGGAAGTGGACTTGAGTCCTATCAGCGCCAGCCCAGCAGGCCTCTGACCACCCCCGGGGCGTACCCTGTCCCTCACCTCCCCAACACCCCCACGGCCCTGGAGCCTCCCAGGAGCTGTTCCCTTGCCCTCCCTGCTTGGAGCCGGCCTTGGGGCCGCACAGCTCTGTGCTCAGCAGCGCTCCTCCCCTCCTTAGCCTTGAGCCTGAGACAGGCGTCCCCCGAGCCCCGCCCGGCACCTTGTGACCTTGTGTCCTTGTGCCCGTGCACCTGCGTTGAACCGTGGCTGGCCCTGGGAGGGGATATCTTCCCTTGTGAGGACGTGAGGGGCTGCAGGTCAGAGGTGGCTGGCGTACTGCCCTCCTCCTGCTCCTCAGCAGAGTCCTGGGCAGGTGGGTTTGGCGGGCGGGCATCTTCCTGGGCCCTCGGGAGCCGCGGTAATGAGCTGTTGCGTAAGTGCTCACCTTTCCTCCCTGGGCGGCTCTAAGGGCTTTTTGATTTAATTGCCAGTGTATTTCCAGAAGCAAAATCTGGGGCACTGTGATGAGAGCAGCCTGGGGAGACTGGACTGCAGATGGGGCCAAGGCTTCCCCACACCTGGGAGGGCAGCCTCGGCCCGAGCAGAGGCTGGCTTTGGCTGGACGCAGGACACGGGCTGGGTGGTGAGCCGAGCCTGGGCCAGGCGCCCCCTCCTTGAGTCAAATGTCCTCTGCCGAGGGTCCCTCCCCACGTGGGCCCATCCTCCCCTGCTCAGCTCATGCCCCCGCCCGGTCAGCCGGCAAACGGCTGAGTGTTGGGCACAGCCACGGTCCACAGCTGGTTACCTGAGGCCTCCTTTTTCAAACTGTCACCCAGGTGTCACCTGCGTGGGCCCTGCCCTGTCCCTACCTGGAGGGCTCCCCAGCTCAGCTGGTGACACATGGCCCTGGCCAGCTGAGAGCACTGAAGGGGCTGGAGGACAGGGGTCTTCCTGTCCAGCACCCAAGTGCAACAGGAAGGGCAGGTCAGGGCAGTTCTGGACTGGCCCAGCCGCCCAGCTTCTCAGGGCTTGTGGTGGGCCTGCCATCCAGCTCCAGCGCCAGCTGGGGTGGGGAAGGAAGCAGGACCTCCAGCCCCCGGCCGATGGCTCCTGTGGGGAAACCGAGACTTCCATCTGCCTGGCACCTCTTCCCTCCCCGTCGGGAAAGGACCCGTTTCCCGTGGAACCTGCACCAAGGTGCTGGCCCCACTGGCTTTCTTGTTCCCGGGCACACAGGGTGGACCCCTGGTCTAGGCCTGGCACAGGGTAGGATCCCTCTCCTGGGTCTCCAGTCCTGGGGGTGGGTCCTTCTGGGGCCTTCTCTACAGTCCAGGGGCAGAGCCTGCCTTGGGAGGAGGCGGAGTGGAGGGTGTGATGGAGCCCGGCTGGTCTGGAGCCCTCTGAGCAGAACGGAGCTCCTTCCTGGGGGCCGAGGACAGCAGGCTCAGGCCAGGCGGCGGTGGGAGGGCCCGCAGGGTGCCGGGGTGAGCCGGGCACGTCCTTGGGCATCAACCAGGCGGGGCCATGTGTGACTTTTTTAGAAAGGATTTGATATTTGTTATTTCAAAAAAGGCATCCAGGCCGTCTCTGTGGGAAAGAACAGAACTCTGACCTTTCACCCATTCGACGGCTTAGTGCTGTTTTTATTTCAAACCACACACAGGGGCACCCTAATCCCTCAGCGCCAGGGGCCTCAGAGGGTCTCAGCTGGAAGACCGCAGGCAGGGCCGGGCGGGTTTGAGTTGGGCACCCAGAGCAGAGGGGTGGCAGTGTGGGCACAACCTCGGCCCGGTACCCTGGCCTGAACCAGGCCTTGGAAGCCTGTCTGGGGCGGGCAGGTCTGGGCTGTGCTGTGGCCACAGCAGGGGCCTGGTGAGGGCTGCATCCCCTCTGGCGTCCCAGGGCCAGCCTGACTGCAGTCCTCATGGCTCCTGAACACCCTCCAGCTGGGTCCCAGTGGTGCCCCGCAGGCCCTGTCCCTGGCCGGCCCTCACTCAGAGCCACCAAGGGGGTCTGTGGGGAAGGTGCTGGCTGGCCTCAACCTGCGGGCCCGGGCATCTCACCTGTAAGGTGACCTGGACGGGACCACACATGACCCCTGCCCTGTACAAGGCCCCGGTCCCCACATGCTCCCTGCAAGGTCCGGGTGCCTGGGCTTCCCCATCTGTAAAATGGGAGTGCAGCCCCTGACCTTGTGCGGGGCTTGTGAGGGTCACTGGGCAGGCCTGCACACGGTGCTCAGCGCCACACCTGGCGTTGTGGTCACTTGTGTCTTCCTGCTCCGCCCCCCGGGCCCTCACTGGGAGCACGGCCGGACCCCTCCCCTTCCTGATATCACGGAGACAGAGCCGCCTCGCTCCCGCTGCTCCCTCACTCAGGGCGTGGTGGGGACTCCAGCCAGTTCTCCACGGCCTCCTGAGCAGGGGCTACAGCCTGGGCCGCCTCCTCCGGCTCTGAGCACGCAGTCTAGGGAGCCCCGAGCGGAGGGCCAGGGGGGTCTGCGAGGCTGCACATCCCTGCTTCTGGGGCCCTCCCCGGGCTGGGCTCGGTGTGACGGATGGAGGCTGCAGAAGCTCTTCTGGCTCTGAGCCAGGCGCAGAGGCCGGGCTGTGAGTCTCCAGAGGGGCTGTAGGACACGCACCTGAGGGGCCGTGAGGGCCAACGAGCCATTCATTAGCAAACACCTTCCTAAGGGAGTGTGTCCTGGGGCAGGCTGGGGCTGGAAGGATGGGGGAAGTTGCAGCCGTGTAAGCACGGGAAGTGGGGGGGCACTAGCGAGAATAGAATTGTTGGGGAGCAGTCCTTGCCTGGTGACTACAGGCAAGGAGGCTGTGGCCTGCGGGACCTTACCCTGGGGATGGCAGGGCAAGGTGGGACGGGGCGGGGCGGGGCAGGGCAGGGCAGGGCAGGGTCTGGCTCTGTGCTGCCCATTCGGCTGTGTCCACAGAGCATCTGCAGGGCCCCCAGCCACTGCCCAAAGCCACCAGCACTCAACCTGGACTCTGCAAAAACCAGCCTTGCACCCTCAGGGAAGGCCATCAGCCTTTGAACTCCTGTGGGGGGACCTGCTGCCCAGCAAAGGTGTGGGAGTAGGGGCTGGGGACCCTGCTGGGGGCAGGCACTGAGGCTCTCCATGCTGGATTGTGCTAGGCTACCCCTCCTTTCAGCCTTCCCTGGCCTGTGCCCAGGGGGCCCTGGGTTCTGGTGCCAGCAGGGAGGCCAGCCTTGGGTCCTGAGCAACCATCCCCCAGGGAAGAGTGCGGGCCAACATCCTGACCCCTGCGTGTGCCTGCTGTGAGCCAGGACTTGCTGTTCATGTGATCCTGCTCCATCCTGTGACATCAGGGCTACTGTCACCACCTCACAAGGAAAGAAACAGGCTCTGAGAGGCCAATGAGGGCCCTGAGCCACGGCCAGCCCTCGGCTAATCCAAGCCTGCATGATCCACGTCCTGGGCTCAGCTCCCTGCCCTGCCTGCCCGGGAGGGTGGGGCCTTCGCTGGCCCTGGCCAGGGCCTGGCTCAGGCAGAGCATCCTGGAAGCTTCTGGGTTGGGGCAGGCACGAGCTCTGACTCTCAGCCAGAGAAGAGAACCAGCCAGCGTTGTCCAAGGGAGGCCCGGCCACCCCTTCCACACCCAGGCGGCTGTGAGCCTGCTCTAAGGGAGGGAGCAGGGCCTCCGGGCAAAGCGGACAGCATGGGGTTCCCTGGAACCAGGAAGGTCTGTTGGCTCCCCTTGGCCAAGGGCAGGCAGGCGTGGCCTCCTCCTGGAAGCCTGGGCCGGTTCCAGGCTTGGACAGAACGAGCTGGTTTTCACTCCGGCAGAGAACATGAGGATCTGGCCAAGCCAGTGACAGCCTTTCCAAGGAACGTGGGCAGGCTGAGCAGCCCTGGCCCCAGGTCCCCCGTGGGCCTGCCAGGAGGCATGCCGCTGTGTCAGGGAGGCTGTCCCTGGGGGCATGTGGGTAGCCAGTGAGGGGGGTCACTGCCCCCAGCTCGGCGATGGATGTATTCAAGGCTGGGGCATCTCCAGCCGCCAGGCCCTGGAGCTTTGCGGGTGCATCAGGGTTCCAGACCGCCCAGGTTTGAACAGCGCTGCCATGCACGTCTGTCGACTTCGGCGAATGGCTCCTCCTCACTCTCCCCATCTGCGGCATGAGCACCATCAAAGCCCCGGGTGACGCAGCTCCAGGGAGCCTGTGAGTAGCTCAGCCTGGGGTGGGTGGCCCAGTCCCACCCACCTCCTGCCCTGGGCGCCGGGCGCTGGGCGCCGTCTGTCAGGGCCTCTCAGCCTGGGGTGGGCGGCCCAGGTCCACCCACCTCCTGCCCTGGGCATTGTCAGGGCCTCATCGCCGGGCCACGCACTCCTGGGACAGGTCTTTCCCATGATCACCGTGGGGTCTGGGCAGGTCTAGTCCATCCCCTCAGGCCCGCTTCCCTGCAAGAGGAATGGGCTCCTGGTCCACAGAAGCCCCATGGGGCTGGGCCTATGGGGCTGGACGTGCTTCTCGAGGTGCAGAGGCGTCCTGGTCACCCCCTCCTGTGGCCAAAACCCTCCAGGACCTGCCTGCTCATAAAAATGACAGCACACGCACTGTGCTGGGCCAGGGCTGTGGAGCACCCAGACCAGGAAAGCTCTTGTGCTCCTGCTGACAAGCCCACATGTGGGGTCAGTGGCTGGCACAGGGTAGTCTGTTCCCACCTGAATATGCTCAGAACCCCCTAGAAAATCCTATATTGGTCAGGGCAGAGCCCCAGAAGTCACTGGCCAAGGGCACTGTCAGGATCTGGGGACTCTGGCCCTGGGGCCCGGCCCCCCTACCGCCAGGCAACCTTGGAGAAGAGGCTCAGGGTGGCAGTGATGCAACAGGCCACCCTGGGCTGCTCTGACGGCCTGACTTTCCACCCTGTCCAGCGCTGCCTGGGGCCCTGGGCCAGAGTCTGGCCATGGCCCACACCCCAGCCTCAGGTGACCACCGGCAGAGCAGCGCAGGCTACTGCCCCTGGGGCCTGCTCAGGGGGTGGGAACCACCCCACTCTCCAGAAAAAGATGTGGAGCCTCATGGAATTGACCCGATCCCCACTGGCCACGCCGGGCAGCCTCGGACCAGCCTGATGCTCTCACCCAGCCCGAGGCTCCACTCCAGGGCCCCTCTCCCAGACATCTGTGCAGCTGCTGATGACTAAAGAGGGAGAAAGAGGGAAGGGGAGGGAGAGATCAGGCGCCCCAGGGGAGGGGCACCCAGGCTCTGCAGTGTGGACCTGGCATTCCAGCGCCACGGTGTGCAAGAGCTGTGCTCTGCCAGGGCTCGGTCTAAAGGGCTGGGAAGCCGAGCGACTATGGGCTCCACACAGCGATCCGTGCCCACCAGCAGCAGGTGACTTCCTGAGCCGCTGTCCCTGCGGCGAGTCAGAGGCGCACCTGCTTGCTCCCTGCCTGGGCCTCCAGATGAAGCTCTGGGTTTTGCCCACCAGCTCCGGCGGCCACTGGAACAGGAAGAGCGCGGGGCCCATTGAGGACTCCCCCTTTCCTCTGCAGGCAGCAGGTGCCTCCCGGCTGCCCTGACCTCCACGTCCCGGGCTACACCGGCCACTCTGGGTGCTCATCACTGGAGGGTGGGAGCCCAGAGTCCTGCTCACAGTCAAGTGTCCTTGTGGTCTGGAGACCCAGAGCTCTCCCAGGTAAAATGAGGCATGGGCTGAGGCTGGGCCTCCTGTGGGATGGGGCCCCTCAGGCCTGCAGGGCCTGGCCTGTCCCTGTGGGTCTCCCTACTTTGTCAGGGGTTGGGTGCCAGCGCCTCCCTTTCCCTCCCTGAGCCTGGCCTTCCTGTTCCCTCGCCGTCCCTCCCTGAGCTGAAGCCCCCCACCACCCCCTCCTCAATTCTGTCCCCCAACCCCCCGCACCATTATTTCCTTATTTAGGGCCCACACACCCCAGCAGCTGGGCCTTCCAAGAAGAAACTGCAGGTCCCATCCTGCTGGGACCCCAGGATGGTGGCTCCCATGGTTCCGGGGCCCGTGGAGTCCAACCACCTTCCTGCTGGGACCCCTGGGTTGGTGGCTCCCGTGGTTACGGGGCCCGTGGAGTCCAACCACCTTCTGTCTAATTTAGAATCGACCTGAAGAATCTCATTCTCGGCTCCCCAGGGAGCGCCACTGCCTGTCCTGGTTCCAGAGGCTGCTCTGCTTCCCGGGAGGAAGAGCCTAGTGACCTGATTTCACCCGAGCCCCAAGGAGGGGCCCGGCAAGGTGAGGAAAGCCTGGGGGAGCTGGATCGGGTGCCGGCTGCAGGGCCGCAGGCTGGACCCTGCTAGGACAGCCACCAGTGGTGGGACAGCTGAGCCCACACCTGCTTGAAACCAGCCAGGGCAGGTGGCAAAGGGCAGGCTGGACCCTCAGCCTCGGACCTCGCCCAGGGAACCAGGAGACGCCTCACAGGAGTGGCTCGCACCTGCCGCTCTGGGACTCCCTGGACCTCACCCCACTGGGGAGGCTGCATCACACACAGGCTCCTGCTGCAGCAAAATACAGCACCTCAAAGAGGTCGCAAGCTGAGAGTTCCCCAGCCTGGTGACCCAGCCCATGCCGCCCTGACCGCCAGCCCTCAGGCAGCCTTGCTTGAACGGCCTCTGCACATCCCGCAGGCTCTCGTCTCCCTGGGCCATGCTGAGTGCTCAGCTACCATACCTGGTGTGGGGCGCAGTGGCCAGTCAGGCCCTACCCAGGTGTGGGACACCTATGGCTCTTCCTCTTTTGTTCCAGAGCCGTGGCCACATGGGCACAGGGGAGTAGCACTGGACACAGAGCAGAGCCAGCCACGTCCCCAGGGAGGTGTGCACAGGCCAGAGAGTGCCACGGAAGCAAGAGAGAGGGGCTGGCGGCAACAAGGAAGGGCAGGAGGGGCTGCCAGGAGGAGGAGACAGGAGGGCTCCTGAGAGGAGATGAGACAGAAAGCACTGTTAGCTGCGGAGGGAGAGAAGGAGGGAAGGAGGAGGGAGGAGGGTGGAGGGCAGAGGAGGGAACTTGACAGTGGAGGGAGAGAGCTGAGAGCAGGCCAGGCCTGGGGTGCAGGACCCTGGTGTTGCTGTGACCTCTAAGTTCAGCGCCAGCCTGTCCTTCCTTCCTCTGGAGTCCAGGGGAGGCACAGGGGCTCTGAGCGGCCTTGGAGCAGGTGGCTGAGGCTCTGGCAGCCACCGTTCCTCCCGCCTGGGACCACTCTGGGGAGAACCCCAGGCTCCAAGGGCATGGAGAGGTCCTGCTAGGACCTAATGGGACTGCAGGTCGGGCACAGCCTGGAGCATCCCCTCCATCCCAGGAGGGCCCCTCCCTGGCCTGGGGAAAGCAGAGGAAGCCCAGACAGTCTGTGGCCACCTCCATCCAGGCCCGGTGGGGACAGGGCCCCTGGGAGACAGAAGCAAGGGCAGTGAGAACCCAGCTGCTCCGTCCACCTCTGTGCTGGCCGAGCCCAGACAGACCCTCTCCCCCAGGGGGTCCCACAGCAGGTCCGCACAGAGGCTGCCCCTCTCCAGGGCTGCTGGGCAGACCCAAAGTCCATCCTAGACTAGCTCCACAATTGGGAAAACCTGAATAACCACAAAACAAACTGAAGTCATTCTTCACTGTTGCTCAAGGAGCAGCTGTTGGAGAAGTTTGAACCTACATGGGGCCAAAACCACCGATCCAGAGCCACCTGCAACATGGCTCATTGTCCTTACCGCCTGAACTCAGCACTCCCCTCGGCAATGCCAGGCTGCAGAGGGGAGGGGCCCCGTGGACGGGAGCAGGGCCTTTGTGGTTGCAGAGGAGAAGCAGCAGAGAAGCGGTTGGGCAGCTGCATGGAGCATGGGCCGGCGGCTGGCGGCTGCCACGGAGAAGGTGACCCCTCACCTGGCCAGCTGGTTTAATCCCAGGTCTGTGCTCTCAGCATCTGGCCCCACTTTTCAGCTGCAGCCCCCACCCTGTGCTGGTCACCCACAGGTCACCCTGAGCTGGACGGGCACCATTGGAGCCCACCGCAAAGCTCAACTCCGGGTATGAGGCTTGGGAGGCGGCAGGCACAGGGATGCTTTCGGAGACTGTGTGAGCGCAACGCCACCCTGGGAACAGACCCCCACGTGGTGGGCATGCCCGAGATGCACCCCAAGATGTCCATGCCCTAAACCCTGAGACCTGCAAATATGTTACTTTGCATGGCAGAGGGAACCTAACATGGGGACATTGTCTGGATCATCCGGGTGGGTCCCCCGAGTTACAGGGGTCCTGAAAAGGAGGGAGAAGACGAGAGTCCAGGGAGACACAAGGGTGGAAGCTCAGATGGTGGCTGCTGCTGGCTTCACCAGGCAGGAGGGGCCAGGAGCCGGGAACGCTGTGGCCTCTAGAAGCTGAAAGGCAAGAAAACGAATTCTCTCTGAGTCCCTAAAGAACGCACAGCTCTGCCCACACCCTGGTTTCAGCCCAGTGAGACCTGAGTCGGACTTTGACCTCTAAACTGTGGGCCTACATGTGGACTTTTCAAGCACTCAGTTTGTGGTCATCAGTTAGAGCAGCCACAGGTGACGCCTCCACCACCTTTCCGAGGCCTGCAGCCCAGCAGAGAAAGGAGCACGTGGCCTGTGCACTGCGAGACCACAGGCAACACAGCTCCCACCGTCACCACGCACCTGCGGTGGGTCTGAGTTGTTCCGTAGACAGAATTGTGTGGGGGTCCCAAGCCTGAGTGTGGCAGAGCCACCTGCTGAGGTCCTGGTCTACAGGGGCCTCTATCCAGCCTCCTGGCCCCAGTTGGAGCCAGCAGACAGCCTGGGAGGCCTCGGAGGCTACAGGGCCAGGCCTCACCTGGCGGGAGGGTTGCCAGGGCCTGCGGCAGGAGCACGGCGGGACTGCAGTGGTGTGGCGAGTCGCGCTGGGGGCTGAGATCAATGGGGGACCCCTGTGTCCTCTCCCACTGCGGCACACCCTGCAGTCACATCCTGCCCAGTTTAAAAGCTCACAGCCCAGGCTGTTCCAGGAGCAGGGAGGGCCCCCAGACTGTGTGGAAAGGGGCTGCCCCGCCCTGGTGCTCAGCTCAGGGTCCAGACTCCGGGAGGGATGATGACGACACGGATGATGATGATGCCGGCGCGTACACAGGACGCAGGGACGGCAGCCATCACAGCACCGCACCTTGGAGGCAGGAAACCTGGCAGGGGCCCGCACATTCCACGATGGGGAGTGAAGCCCAGCGATGGAAACCACCTGGCGGACGTGCCGCAGGCTGACGGCCCAGGCAGGTGTTTAGCCTGTGAACCCCACGTCGTCTGTAAAAGTGCCAGTGGCTTTGGGGCCACAGGGTCTTTTTGGAGAAGCGTTTGGTGCTGTTGGCTCCAGGGCGGTTTCCAGGGGAGTGGGAGTGGGTGCGGAGGGACGGACTCCCATGGGCGTGGGGCTCAGGGCGCGGGGCTGGGGGCACAGGGTACAGGGCGCAGGGGGGTTGGGCACTTGCTTGTGTGGGCGGGGTGCCCTCTGCTGGTGGAGGTGGGCATGGCGGCAGGCTGGGCGCTGCAGGCTGGGCGGAGGGGGCCGCGCTGTGGCCCACAGGAGCTGGGGAGGGCAGGGGCGGGCAGCGTTCTGGCCACACTGCTCAGGGCAGCCTCCAGCTGCTCCCAGGAGCCACTTCCACCTGCCAGCTCCGGGGACTCGCTGTTTTGGGGGCCCTTGATATCTGAGGATGGGAGTCCCAGGAAAAGTGCCACCTTGGTCTTTTCTGAGAGACGGACTTGGCATTGATGATGCTCCCTCGGGAATGCTGTTGCCCGGAGCTGCCAATCAAACCGTTCGGGTGGACAGCACTGCTCGGGCGCTCCGTGGCGTCAAGGAGGTTTCCAAGCCCCTGATCATGCTGGGTCCCGGGCACACCCTGGGCTGAGGCTCTGGAATCGGGGTGGGATGGCCTCTACTAGACCCCCTCGGCAGGTGCCTGTCATCCACACAAGGCTCAGCCTCGCAGGCTCCATGCCAGCGGGGACCATCACCAGGGTCCACATTCCCCCCGCATCGCGGGGCCTCCGCTGGCACCCAGCCTTCTGTGCTCCTGCCATGAGCACAGCCTCCTTGGCAGACAGGAGCCACAGACAGGGCCAGATGGTGAGGAGAGGAGGGGCCCCGAGACCTCCGTGTACCCATGCCCCTCCCTTTGGGGATGCCCAGGCGCATTCCTCCACCCCAGCCAGTCAGGGCAGAGCCTGCAGCCCCCCACCATGAGGAGGCGAAGGCCGAGGTCGGCCGGGCCCCGTGGGATCCGTCTCACATCCACTCACAGGTGGAGGCGGGAGGGAGGGGTCCTGATGGTGCCGCCTGGCGATGTGGCACAGGCAGGTCCCTCGGTGGAGTGGTGGCTTCCTGGGACCCTCCAGGCCCCTCCGGGGGTGGGTATTGGTACCTCCTGCGCTTGGTGGCTGCCCGTGAAGCTGTTCCTCCCCTGCCCTCCCTGCCCGGGCACCTGCTACCCGCTTGCTGACCGCTGGGGTGAGCGCTTTCTGAGGATGTGAAAAAGAGCCTGAGGCTGGCAAGAGGCAGGTGTTGAGGCCCAAACCCACGGTGCTCCGGGCTCTGAAGAGGCTGCCTCCCGGATGCTGAGGTGGGTCGGGGGCTGGGGTGGTCCTGCCTCAGGCTGCAGCAGGGAAGTACATTCCAAAAGTGAGGCTGGCTGGGAACATGGGGCTGGCTGGGGAATTCAGGCGGCACCTGAGGCGAGCCACCCTGCCTCAGTTTCCCCTTCAATCAATCACCTTGGCTTTTACACCCAACGTCAGCCTCTAACATCCGGTGTGGGCAGAGGGTTGGCACACCTGCCTGCACTGAGATCCTGCAGAGAACCCCAGCGTCACTGTCCACACTCTGAGGGCAGCGTTTGGCAGGGATGCTGACCCCCTCCAGGCACCTCCAAGGGGCTGCAGAGACTCAGCAACCCAGCCAGGCCACAGGTGAAGTGGGCTTGAGCTAGACCAGGCCGTCCACAGGGGTAGAGGATGAGGGCCCTGGCCCAGCGACACTGCACAGAGGCTCTGGGCTCCTGCCGGGGCCACGGTCACCCCCAGGAGCCACCTCCACTGACTGGAAGTGCTGCATGGGCTGTCGAGGTTCTGTGGCACCTGCTGCCCACTGGCTGCCCCACTGGCGTGAGTGTAAAGGTCTGGAAGTGCTAGAGAGCCCACAGGGAGGTGGGCTGGATGGCCCAGACCCCAAGGCAGCTTCCTTCATGCAGGGTCACACCCAGGAAACGATGGCCTCCTGGCTCTCACCTGAGCACACGTGGGTGTCTGCGTGGTTTGTCCACGCATGTCCCATTGGCTCCCAGCATCGCCGTCACCTGCCAAGCATTGCGGTTGCTATGGAAATGAAGTTGTCACCTCCCAGTGACAGCATGGCCTGAGCCTTGCTCCTCTCCCAGGACCAGAGCTCCTGGCATGGAGGACACAGCATGGTCCTTGCTCCATCCA